TTTTTTTTAAGGAAATACCAAATTAAACGTTTGACAATGGACGGCCAATGTTTTTTTTTTTTTTTCAGGAAATACCAAATTAAACGGGCAACACCCCTTGTCGTATATGGAGAAAATGCGTAGTGTGGTGTTACACGTCTTCGTTATGACACGTACGTACGCAAAAAAAAAAAAAACCAAAATAGTTTCTAATCCTTTGGGAGTAAGCTATCTATTTACTTCATCGAGCAAAAGATAGGGATATTTACACCTCAAATTTTAGGGACTTAATCTCTACCACTATAGAATAATTTCAATATCAAATTTTTTTTGATACTCTATACATTAGCAAAACTAATGCCTCAAAATCGAATAAAAACCCTTTAATTTTTGAAAGGCTAGATCTAAGTGGCAAAAACCTCTAAATTCAAAATTTGTTTTTTAAAAAATAATTATCTAGTAACTCTAAAAATTTGAACTAAAACCAATCATCTATACAGGTATTTTGAGCGAGGGAGTAGATGCACAATATAATCCTTCGGGGGTATAGTAAATGGGCTCAAGCAAAAAAACAAAAAAAAACTCCTAAAAAGAGGTCCCTGCTTCTGTGCCCTGCAAGCTGAAGAGAGAGAGAGAAATTTCGCTCTCCTGCAAGTCGTCGAGTGAATTGGAAGCCAAAGGAGGAGACAGAAAGAGACAATGGCTGGAATCTCTCTCAACCCTGCCTTCAGCGCACGGACTCCGCAAGCATCTGCAATCTCTACACCCATTCCTCGCCTCCACACCCTTCCAAATGCCATTTCTCTGCGCCTCTCAACCGGATCTCACACTGGGAATAGAATTTCAAGCATCTGGAAGAGTAGAAGAGGGATTGGTGCCCCTCGAGTGGGGCAGATCGAGCCGGAAGAGGAGAAATGGGGAGAGGGCAGCGGCGGCACAGCCGTGGCCGAGAAGGCGGAGCAGGTGACGACCGAAGTTCAGAAGCTGAAGAAAGAATTGGTGGAGGCGTTTTACGGTACGGAGAGGGGTTTGAAGGCCAGCAGCGAAACAAGAGCCGAGATCGTGGAGCTGATTACTCAATTGGAGGCCTTGAATCCCACCCCTGCTCCCACTGAGGCCCTCCCTCTTCTCAATGGAAAGTGGATCTTGGCGTAAGTTCTGCCATGAAACTCTTCCTCCCTTTCCTTTGCTTTTCATTTCTCATTCATCCATGGATTTCAGGTACACAACTTTCTCGGAAATGTTTCCCCTGTTTGCCATGGGCACGCTTCCGCTAGTGAAAGTTCAAGAGATATCGCAGACCATCGACTCCGAAAACTTCACTGTGGAGAACACGGTGCTGTTTTCGGGCCCTCTTGCCACCACTTCCTTCACCACCAACGCCAAGTTCGCCGTTCGCAGTCCAAAACGAGTACAGGTTCGTAGGGAGAGAAACCTTAATTTAAGATCTCGTGGCACCCTCAGAAAGTACTTGCACATTTTCACGAACTCACGAGGGCTGAGCAACTCCCCGATTGAAAAATCTGGGGTATGGCCTTGCCCAACCCACGTCCCAGATTGAAAATTCTGGTATATGGCCTGGCCCAGCCCTGTTCCCTTGTCCCGGTCTGATCGGGGCCGCAACAAAAGAAGTAAAAGAGAGCTGGGCCGGTCCAAATCCGGCGGACGTGACCCACGGCCGGAACTCGGGCCATAGTTGGGCAAGAGCTAGCACTACCCAAACATATTTTAAACAGTCCCCATCCAGCACATTTGGCCTAAGGCCACCAAACCAGCCTAAAACTCGGCCCGTGCATCTCAAAAACTCAGAAAAGGCTGATAACCTTCGAATTGATGGGAAAGTTTTTTATGTTCTTCCACAAAGTAGAAGTTCTATACTCTCCTTATAGTCCAGCCCTCTATTTTTTATCATGCGAACCACTCACCGAACCACTCACCGTTCCAATGTTTCAAAGTATTTTATTGTTAAATTTTTTAATATAAATTTTTTCAATATGAATTTTGGTACTTGTCATCTTATGGGGCGCAGCTATAAAATATATTAACAATAAATTTTTGATAAAAAATAATGATCAAAATGCCTTTTAAATTTTTAGAAGTATTTTAGTCATTTTATTTTATTGAAACTACTTTTTTTATATTTTTCTTTAGTGCAAGTTTAATAGAAAAATGGACGTCCAAAATTTGGTGTCAAAACAATTTATAAAAAAATAAAATAAAAATAAATCAGTATAGATACGGGATAGTGTGATTGGGACAATCTTAGCCTTCCTTTAAAAAATGGACAATTGGATAAGGGAAGGATAGAACTTTTATGTTGCAGAGAAACATAAAAAGTTTTTCTCAAATTAATTATCTAGATCTCGATAAAAGAAAAAAAAAAAAAAACTTGAGTTTTAAAAATAATGCATTTGGTCTATTTCAAAGATTTTTAAAAGTGTTTGGATATCGATTTGATCTACATTATCTTTTAAATTTCAAATTTCATAAATGAAATATAAAAAAAAAAATTCATGCTCTCAAAAGGGATTTTGGACACTTGAAACTGTATCTTTGGGCATCATTTCAAAATACGCATTGTTTTGAATGTTTAAGGAGTCAACCTTATATTGACCTCACCCCTTACTTGAAAGATATATTTTAGGGGAACGACTGGCTTTTCGACGCTTATAGGTTAAAATAAACAGATTTCGTCTATTTTTATCACCGTTCAAAGTTTATAGCACGGTCATGATTGTCTAGTAGTATTTTATTTTTCATTTTTATTCCACAAATCAGAATAACTTGAAATTTGAAGTGTGTGTATATTTTAGTGAGACACACACTTAACAAAAAAATAAAAAACATTTTATATGTGTAAAATACGGACCCAATTAAGGAGAAAGTTATAATGATGATGATCTTTCTTAAGATCTTATCCTTTTTGATTCTCTAATTCTAGACTCATGCTCAATCTGACAATTCAAAACCGGCCAAACCCAGACTCGTACCCACCCAATATGGTGAGAGTGCCGGCCAATCTATATCCTATTGTACTCAATTATTATTAAGGGTGGCAATGGACTTGGACCCGACCCGGGAACCATCGGGTATATTTGCCATCGGTCGGGTATGGGTCTAGCATTTGGACCTAGAGGGTTAGGTATGGGTCCAAAATTTGGACCCGAATACTATACGGGTAGGGGTCGACCCGACCCATACCTATAAACTGTTAGAGATAAAATATTTACTTTAAGTTCTATTCATTTGGGTATATATTAAGGATTGAATATATTTAAAACTAGTTGTCATTTTTATCTATTAAATGATAAATCACTCGGTTTGAAATCTAGTAGTGCGTGATTATGACCTTGTTGCCAATAATACAGTTATATGATAATAATAAAAAAAAAAAAGCTGATAGTGAGGGTGACAATGGATCCGAGAGTCATTGGGTAGACCCGAATGTATGGGTCCAATTTTTTAAATCAACGGGTCAGGTTCAAGTCCAAAAATTGGATCTAAATTTATTCGGGTCTGTATTCGGGTACGGGTCCAGCTCCCTCTCTTACACGTACCCAAGTCGTTGCCATCCCTAATTATTATGTACCACAATGGAATTCCCAACTCCTGCGTCATTTAGTTTGGGGGACAAACCATTTTTGGGAAAAGACGACGTACATCACCCAATAAATGTGTGGAAAATAGGCAAGCAACTTTTCTTCCTTTTAACTTATTTTCTATCCACGGAGTGTCGGTGAGATTGAGATGCGCGGCAGGACGAATGAGGATGGTCCGGTCTATTATTGTGTGGTGCATTCTACGCTTTTTATCCGTAGCAAATAAGGAAAAGTTATAGAAAATTCTTATTATATTTTTTAGAATTAAAAATAGTCTCTAATATTTCATATTTTAGGTTTTCAGGTCCAATTTTTTTGATGTGTAGTTTATTTTAATTTTAATATTTTGTACATCAAAATTTCAAATTCAAGGTGTCTATATACTACTCATGATCATGCTTCTATAAAAGAAATAAATTATAATAATTTGAAAGAGATACTGCCAAAATACTCCTAAATCTTGTAGGGGTATTTTGATTATTTTCGTTATTAAAATGTTTTTTATATTTTTTACATGTACATGAAGGTAGCAGCATGGACACCCTAAATTTAAGCGTAAGGTTACCAAAAAAAAAAGGGTTAGAAAAGTGGGAATTGTGTGTAAAATGTGAAATATAGTACTATGTTCAAATTTCAAACATAAAATGACTTTTTCTTTAAATTTCCTAAAACTGGATGATATAGTACAGCGTGGAAAGAGAAAAAAAAAGAAAAGATGGAAAAAACTGGATGAATTAATAACTTTTACCAATTGATTGGTCACGTTCTAAAAGCTCTTTAATTTTGGTACCCCTTTATGAATTTTGTTAAATTAATACTCCTACTTGTTGCCCGGAATATATTTTTTATTTAAAAGAAGGAACTTGAACCAGTGAGCAATTAAGTCACCGGAACCGAAAGACATAAATACCTTGTTGGATTTTGCGTTCCAAACTCGAACAAGATTTCTTGAAGGTATCTAGTTCATTTGGCTCGAGCAACTTAAGTCGTCAAAAATTAAAATGGCATCACTTGTTTAGGGTTCTAAACTCCTAATAGGGATGGTTTTGGCATACCTAACAATAGGACTTAGGACATACCTAATGCAAATGACTTTGGAAACCTAGCCAATTTGGTGGCAAATTAGTTGATTTGAGGGAAATTATCGCCAACATATTGGGTTGCCACCGGGCCGGCCTTGGTCTCGGTAAAGCCTGAAAACTAATTTGGTTTGGCCCAGCAAGGGCCAGCCCAAAAAGAATCATTAAGAAGCTATTTTTTTTCTCAGTCTTCAAACTTAATTTTCTTCTTTGTAGTAAGCAAATGTATACTAGTAATATGCACGTGCGTTGCATGTGATATTTAATATAAATCACTAAAACATGTTTATCATTGAAAAATATTTTCAATAAAACATGGTCTTAGAGATCATTGAATTTACCCTCACTATTGAATAAATTTATGAAATAATTATGATTTTTTAAAAACCATGCAATAAATAAATAATTCAGGTGTACTATTTGTGATAAAATTCAATTATAGGTAGACAAAAAAATTTTAAATGCTACTTTAAATAGAGGAATAAAAATTGATATAATGCAAATGAAAAATAGTGAGAGAAAGCTAGTGGGGATGTGCTCAAAATTTATAATTAGAAAACAAAAATTACTCAAGTATCTCCTAAAAAAAGAATTAAAATTTATATATATTTCATCACATATTTTTTTACTAGAAATAATATTGTAGTCACAAAAGCAATTTAATATTCAAATAGTCATAAAAAATTTTAAATACATATAAAGGAAAAAATTGAGATCAAAATAAATCGATACAACATTTAATATAAGAATCGAAAAGAAAAACATAACTTATTTTCTACTTCTCAATAGAGAGATTAAAAGAGACATAATCCATTTGAAAAATAGTAAGAGAAAGCTAGAAGAAAGAGTAATATAAATAAATAAGTTCTATGCAATTAAAATAAATAAAATAAAATAAATCAATAAAATAAAGAATAATAATAATGATAATAACAATATTAACAATAATTGTAGTTATAGTTGTTGTTATTATTATTATTATTATTATTATTATTATTATTATATTAGAGAGATATATTGAGGGCGAGTTAGTTGAAACCACTTATTTGCTGTAATTAAAAAAGTGAAAATATCTTCATACCCCTATTTTTAGATATCATTTCACAATAGACCCAAGGTTTAAAAGATATCTTGAGGCATAAAAATTGTAGATTTTATTTTTTCTAACCCCCCGAGCTAATTTAAATTTGTTTTTTTAGGCCAAATAAATCTAAAAGACATGCCTTTTCCAAGACCATTCTCCCTTTCTAAACCTCTCTCCCTTCACATTTTCTCTCTTCCCATTTGCCAAACCCAACCAACGTTTTTCCTCTCCCCATTTGCCAAACCTCTCTTCGTATTTCCCCCATTTTGTCTTCCCGTGTCTCTCACTCACTCTCGCTCCCCCAACCCTTTCTCTCTTACCATGATAGTCCCATCTGCAAAACCTAAACCTACGTTTTTCCTCTCCCCATTTGCCAAACCTCTCACCGTATTTCTCCCATTTTATCTCCCCGTGCCTCTCACTCACTGGCACTCCCCAACTCTTTCTCTCTTATCATGATAGACAAATTGCAGAACCCAATTAATGATCAATTTGATAGATAAATTGTATAACCCAATTTAACTGCAATGGTCAATTTGATAGCTAAATTGTATTACCCAATTTGACTGCCAACTCATCTGAAAGCTCCAATTTGACTGCCAACCCATTTGAAAGCACATGCGATATATTTTGGGAAAATTTGACTGCCAACCCATTTGAAAGCACATGCGATATATTTTGGGAAAATTTGACTGCCAACTCATCTGAAAGCACATGCGATATATTTTGAGAACCTTTGATAGCTCGAATGTCGTTTGAGAACCATATCTATACTGGTTCTTGAAAATATTTACTGACGTCTATTGAAGCTTTGTACTCCATCTCTGTTCTCCATGTAATTTTAAATGTTTATGTTGCAAAGAAAGAGTTGGGTGTGAGGAGAGAGTGGGAGACATGGAGAGAGAAAAAGAATAGGAAATACGGAAAAAGAGAGAGGGGGGATTGGGAGATGGGGAGAGAGAGATCGGGAAGAGGGCACGGGAAGAGAGTGCGAGATAGGGGAGAAAAAAAGAATGAGGAATATGGAAAGAGAGAAAGGATTGGAAGACAAAAATAGTGGGATACATAAAGAGAGATGACTGGGAGAAAAAAAAAAGGGAATACAAAGAGAGAGAGCGGTTTGGGAGATGGGGAGAGAGAGAACGGCAAGAGAGAAGGGTTTAGAAAAAAGATGCATTTTTTAAGTTTGATGGGAGGAGAGAGAGAGTGAGAGACACAGAAAGAGAGGAAAAGAGTGAAGCTTGGGGTATATAAGTGAAGAGAAATAAATAATTGAGTTTAGAAAGAGTATGTCTTTCTCACATTTGTTTAAGTTAAGAAGTAAGTTTAAAGTAGTCAGGGTTAGAAGATATCTTTTAAAACGGTGGGTTTATCAAGAAATGAAACCTAAAAATAAAAGATATGGGGATATTTAAATTACATTATAACTTGAAAAATATACTATATATACAGATAGAAAATGATAACATACATTCCATCTTTCATTTTAAAAAATATTTTAGGATAGTCCAGAGAGAGCTTCTTCGTAAGTTTGGATGTGACGGGATTTTGGGTTGGAGTATGAGGGTTTTAGCTTTTTAAGTGAGATATGATAGGAGAGGTTATTCCTAAAGAGAGCTTTAGGAAGGGAGAGATTGGGAGAGATTGAGAGAGAGATTTTTAAGGAGGGAAAGATGAATAAGAGAGAGGAGAAATTACAAGAGAAATTTTTTTTCCTAAAGAGAGATACGGAAGGAGATATTGAGGAAGAGATTTAAGGAGGGAGATATGAGTGACAAAGGAGAGAGGTTACATGAGATATTTAATGAAGGACTTGTAACATAGAGAGACATTAATTACCTTTTACATAGTGGGAGAGAGATAGGTGGGAGGGGGAGAGAAGCATGGGAGGTAGAGAGAGATGAATGGCTTGTTATATAGTAAGAGAGAAAAGTGAGAGGGAGAGAGAAACGTGGGGGGTAGAGAGTAAATTATATAGAGGGGAGAGAAAAGTGGGAGGTAGAGAGAGTAAATTAAATAGAAAGAGAGAGATAGAGAGATATCATATTAAACAAAGAATTACATAAA